GAGGCCGGGGGCGGGGCTGGGACCGGGGCGGTGCCCGAGGGCGGGGCTCGCGCGGGGCCAGGCCGTTTCCAAGGCCCGCCTCCAGCCGGCCAGGTGCACCGGGGCTCCCCTACCTGCTGTTGTAACCAACAGGGAGTCTAACGCGCGCGGTGGGCCCTTAGAGAAGTCACCCTCTTTCTGCTGCGCTGCCCTCCGAATCGCTTATGCGGTACAGGGAGACACCTGTCCTAAGAAACTGACGTGTAAAGCCTAAGCATGTTATAAAATCTAAATCAAGTTGCTCCATAAAGCCAAACTAGATCAGTGGTCCTTCAACACTATGAGTACAGAGAATTTTTTTTTTTTAGAATCTCTAAAAGGGACTTCTCAACCTGCCCCCATAAGATGTAGTGTGCCTTAAAATCCCTTTGATAAGGAAAATACACCATGGTGGTCAGGTGCGGCGGCTCACTCCTGTCATCCCAGCACTTTGGGAGGCCGAGGTGAGAGGATTACCTGAGCCCAAAGGTTCAAGACCAGCCTGAGCAACTTGGCAAGACCTCGTTTCTATAATAAATAAAAAAATTAGCTGGGGCCGGGCTCGGTGGCTCAGCCTGTAATCCCAGCACTTTGGGAGGCCTGGGTGAGTGGATTGCCTGAGCCCACGGGTTCGAGACTCACACGGACAACTTGGCGAGACCTTGTCTCCACAATAAATCAAAAAAATTAGCCGGGTGTCGTAGCACACGCCTGTAGTTCCGGCTACTTGGAAGGCTGAGGTGGAAGGATTGCCTGATCCCAGCAGGTCGAGGCTGTGGTGGCAGTGAGCCCACTACTGCACTCCAGCCTGGGTGACAGAGTAAGACTCCGACTCACAAAAAAAAAAAAAAAAAAAAGAAGAAGAAAATACACCATGATAAAAAGTACCACGACTTCATAACACTCTTAAATAAATGTGTATTTTACTAATGACATCAGCACCAGAATAGATTGAGAAACAGTAAAATGATATGTGCAAGCCCTAAAATCAAACTACAGCCAATGCTTGAAGAGCACACCACATTGATATCCCCACACAATGCATTCCCAACTAACTCAAATATGCGAAGAATATAAAACCCCTAAGCATAGACCATGCAGTAGACACTTAGTGGTTGACAAACAAGAGTAAAGTTGACATTAATAGATGCTCAATTCTAAGGTTTCTTGTTACCCAAAAGTTTCCAGCCTCAAACAGACTTTGCTATATTCTGATAGACATAACATCCTTTAAGCCTGTGAGTAACGTGGGAAAGTAAGTCTTCTCTACATTTTACAAATGGAAAAATAAGATGCATAGAAGTTGAAGAATGTATCCAAACATACACAATAATAGATCATTGAATCACACTCTGTAAATCCAGAGCCTGTTCTCCAGACCCCCACCTATGTGGCTAAAGACAGGCTTCAGTACTTGGTCTGCATCCAGTGTGGTCCATTGTGCTGAATGGCCTCTGTTCATCCCTCCAGAGCCACTTTCCTCCTTTGTCCACCTCGATGTGTCCTGGTTCCCTTGCCCTCTGCTTTCTTCAAGGGGACGCAGAGGGTACGATGGAGCAGTCTCAGGATATTTTCCCCATGGTATCCCTGACCCGCAAGCTCCTCTCCTGAAAGCTGCAGCCCTGTCAGCTGACCCTCTCCGTGGCTCCTCCTCTCCAGACTCCAGGAACCTCTCCTGTCTACCCTTCCATGATGCTACTTCCTTCCTCTCTATAGGGTCTGTTGCTTCGCCTTAGTAAAACAAAGAGGAAACTACTAGCATGGATTGTGTACACAATTAATTTGTAGAACTACAGATTTCATGGAACTGGGTACTACTTTATTCTTCCAATGAAACCTTCCCAAATAAAAGAAGACCAGAGAGTTAGCCCATACCTAAAAAAAAAAAAAAAAGAAGAAGAAGAAATAAAAAACACTGGTAAGCCGGCTTGATAGCTCAGCCTATAATCCCAGCATTTTTGGAGGCCAAGGCGGGAGGATTGCCTAAACCTGAGGGTTCAAGCCCAGCCTGGGCAACTTGGTGAGACCTCGTCTCTACAATAAATTAAAAAAATGAACCAGGCATGGTAGCATGTGCCTGTAGTTCTGGCTACTTGGAAGGCTGAGGTGGAAGGATCACCTGAGCCCAGCAGGTCAACGCTGGGGTGGCTGTGAGCATGCGTGCCACCTGGGTGACAGAGTGAAACTCCAACTCAAAAAAAAAAAAAGAGAGACTGATCTAAAAGACTAAAAATGTATGGGAAGGACCACAAATTGGAATCAGAATAATTACTGCTCTAGAACAGTTAAGAATAGAACATGGCCAGGTACGGTGGCTCACATCTATAATCCCAGCACTTTGGGAGGCAGAAGCGAGAGGATTATCTGAGTCCAGGAGTTCAAGACCAGCCTGGGCAACTTGATAAGACCTTTTCTCTACAATAAATCAAAAAAATTAGCTGGGCATGGTGGTGCATGCCTGTGGTTCCAGTTACTCGGAAGCCTGAGGTGGAAGGATCATCTGAGCCCAGCAGGTAGAGGCTGCAGTGGCCATGAGTGTGCTGTTGCAATCCAGCCTGGGTGACAGAGTGAGACTCCTACTCAAAATAAATAAATAAATAGAGCATGAAGGCCCCAGAGAACGGCAAGGCATGATTCAGAGTAGAGTTGTCCAAGCATAAGATATCTGAGCAGAGACCAATAGAATAACATTAATGACACTAGCTGCTGTGTATTGAGTGCCTCCTAACTGTAATGCATTTTGTATAAGTTATTTCCACTCCTCATATCAACCATGGAAAATAGATATTCTCTTTTGACAGTCAAGGGAGTGGTAAGCAGTTTAAGAAGGCGAATCAACATACCAACACCAGCGAAGTGAGGAGACTCACACCTGTAATCCCAGCACTTTGGGAGGTAGAGGCAAGAGGATTGCCTGAGTCCATCCAGGGGATTGAGACCAGCCTTGCCAACTTGATGAGACCTCGTCTCTACAATAAATCAAAAAATTAGCCAGGCATGGTGGCATGCACCTGTGGTTCCAGTTACATGGAAGGCTGACATAGAAGGATCCTCTGAGCCCAGCAGGTCGAAGCTGTGGTGGCCGTGAGCATGCCACTGCATTCCAGTTTGGGCAACAGAGCAAGACTCCTACTGGAAAAAAAAAAACCAACACCCAACAGCTCAGTGGCTGAGCCCAGGATTTCAAACCTAGTTGGGTGACACAAGAGCACCCGTGTCTCCCTGAGAAGCTACTCAGGAGGCAACCCAGCTAGGAGAGCTCTTCCAAGAATGTGTAGTAAGACACAAACAGTCCCAGCGTGTCTGGGGACAACTAAAACCAGGAGCAGATCAAGCAGAAAAAACCAGTAAAGAAGGGATTCCCTTTGAAGACAGCAGGAAAAATAAATGCAGCAGGGTTGGGCAGAATGCAAAGAATTTGGGAGAAAAAGTCACTTTCACTGTAGAATAGTAAAGGGGGGAAGGAGAGGGGTGGTGGAAATAAGCCCAGAGAAAGAGGAAAGGGAAGCAAAGAGAGAATAAACAAGATCTACAAGTTCAATAGATGAGAACAAGTGCTGAGGAGACAAAGCAGAGACAGAGGAAACAGAATGAGGAGGGGCATGTACAGCTATTAGAAGAATTTGTACTCATAGGACCCTGTGTTCTGTAAAAAATAGGAGACTCCTCGTCTGCAAATATGGAAGGGCTTGGACGTTTGTGAGGGTAGATTTGCAAATACTAGCAGACAAACGTCAGAGTGTTGATGGGGTGGGGGGAGAATATATGGCTGAATATCATGGTGGTTCAGAGAAGAGGTGGACCAGGGCAAGAATGAGGGCGTGTCCTCTGACACACAGGGCAGTCCTGGGGCTGGAGCCAGGAGGGAATTGAGCCAGGCTCTGGCCTTGGCACACACTATGCTGAAGAAGGACCAGAGGACTTGGGAGCACAGGTCAGTGTGTGTCTCAGCAGGGACAGCACTTTTGGGAGATAGATTTTTTTTCCTTTTTTTCTTTTTTTTGAGTTGGATTCTCACTCTGTCGCCCAGACTGGAGTGCAGTGGCATGCTCCCGGCCACTGAAACCTCGACCTGCTGGGCTCTGGTGATCCTTCTGCCTCAGCCTGCCAAGTAGCTGAAACTACAAGGCACACGCTACCACACCCGGCTAATTTTTGATTTATTGTAGAGACGAAGTATCA